GGGTTTTTCCCTATCATCGTAAGGATTGATTTATGGTTGTTGCTTGCTCTCTGCTTTTTCAACGTCGTATGATAACGAATTTTTTAATTGCTATGTCTGCTTAAAAGCGTTCGTTCGTTCCTTCGTTCGTTCCTTCCTTCGTTCTTTCGTTCGTTCGTTCGTTCTATTTTTCTTTAGGTATTTTCTTTTTATTTTTTTTTTATTTTTCCTTCTTCTTTTTCCGTTTAACAGCAAGGAAGGAATATCGTGTTCCATTCTTTCTCTCTCCTGGCTTATGTTCGCTCGTTAAAACTAAAAGCGACTTTAATTAAAAAATCGACGCATAAAGCAAACCCACCAACGTTTTAAACTTCGACTTCTTTTTTTTTTTTTTTTTTTTTTTTGATCGAGAAAAATAAGGAAAGATATGTCCAAGTAAATTGAGAAATTTATAATAAAAATCAGGAAAAAAAAATAATCATAAGCCTAGTCTAAATGCACACGCACACACACGCCTGTCCATACAATTTATCACGTGCAATCTGCACACATGATTTTTTTATTTTTATTTCATATAAAATACGAAATATTATTCTAAAAATATGTATAAATTATTTACAATATTAGAGTTCAATTTTTATCATTATTTATCAAAATATTTGATTTGCAAACATTTTTTAAAGTGTTTTATTATTTATTTTCTTTGTAATTATTATAAAAATGCGCGCCTGTACGAATGCAACCCACCAAACACACTTTGAAAATGTTGCTTGCGAACGCCATCTACTGGGACGGAATTTTTTTCTGCCCGAAAGATAGGCAACCCGTCATACATAGATGCATAAACAATTTTGACTGAAAAAAAATTCCGTCCCAGTAGATAGCGTTCGCAAGCAACATTTTCAAAGTGTGTCGGGAGGGTTGCATACGATCAGGCGCGCATTTTTATAATTAAATTAATAATTAAATAAAAAATTACAAATTAAATGTACAAATAATATTATAATAATATTATATAATAAATTATCCTCGAAATTTATTTATTTGAAGGTTTCACATAAAGTATTATGTACATTACAACATGTACAAAAAATGCACAGGGTCTGAAAGGGGTTAATGTTACTTCAAATAAAAAACTAGAAGGCGTACACAAACTTGAAATAGAACAAAGTAAACAAAAAATATATTTAAACAAATCCATATATATATATATATATATATACATAAAATCACAAATACCTAAAAAAAATTCTAATCAATTATCTGATTGTAAGTAAAAGATAATTCTTCTTATATTAGTACTTCAATGTTCCTTAATTCAAGAAAATCCTGAGAAAATAATCGGTAGTATCCTTTCTTAAAAATCCGGGATGAGAAAAATCGTGGAGAGAAAAAAGAGAAGAAAAAAAAGAAAAAAGAAAAAAGAAAAAAGAAAAAAAAAGAAATAAAAAAAGGAGTAGAAGGAGTGATTCTCTGGTAAAGCACGTCTTTTCATTCTTATCTCGTAATATCATCTTAATTTTCTATTACCTACCACCTATGTAATATCCGGCTCACATTTAGCTCCTATCACTGTCATGATCTTTATTGCACACTGCAAGACTATTACACCATGTAACACACACACCCACACACACACACACATACACACATATATACATGCATAGACTCAGACACAGCAACGTGTACAGACATCTTTAGGAAATGTTATCTTTTAATAACGATAGGGATACAAAAGCACTGTGAAAGTGTCGAGAAGAAAATTTGCCACTTTCCACCCATCCCCTTCTTCCTTTTTTTCTCCCTTTTTAATTAATTCATATAATCCTATAAAATAAAATAAAAAATATATAAAAACATGCACATACACATACATTACACGTTGTGTAACCTCACGAATGAATTTTAAACGTTGAAAATAAACAAAAAAGATTGAAAAAATAAATCATGCGAATCGTTGGTACAGAACGAATGTGGGATAAAAATTAAAATTTAACAAATAAAAAAATCATTAAAAAATATATATATATATACATAGAAAGAGAAAAAGAGAGATAGAAAAGGGGTCAATTTTATTTCATTTTCTTTTTTTTTTTTCTTTTTTTTTGAACTCGCGAATATTTTCCTGCAATTTGGAGAATTTGTCAATTAATTTCAGATACACGAGAACGCGTGAATTTATATATATATATATATATACGTAAATGAATTTAACGCATACGTGTGTATACGTGTGTGTGTGTATGTGCGTGTGTAATCACGAGTATTCCCTGAGAATGGATTGTTTTTCGATAAACGACCGCAATATAGCGAATGCGTTTAATACCTAAATAGAAACATTTTGGAGTAGTGCAATTTTCATTGTATCGAAAGCACTACTAAAATGTTATCTACCTTGGTAGGTAGATAGGTCAGTTGATAATATCTAATGTTAATTAATCGCACATCGAATTACATTATTTTCCTACACGTTTATTTTATATACTATTTTTTTTTTGTTTGTTTTATTTTATTTTTATTTTTCAACATATATTTATGCTCCATATCATTTAAATGATATACATGCATATATATATTATGTGTTTTATATTATCCGAGTAATTTAATTTATTTTCAAATAAATTTTCCACATGTATTATCAATATTTTTCGTAATTTCTTTTAAATTAACAAGAATTTATAATTATCGGTTAAATAAATATTTAATTTTAAATGCGTTCGAGATAAAAATTATTATACGTTTTATAAATATTTTCTCTTTTTCGTAAAAAGCACATTGATTTGCTACGACAAAAATAAAATAAATTAAGAAGAGAATTGTTAATAACATTTAGGGGTTGTTAACTTCAACGTAAAAAAATAAATGAAATAAAACGCATTTATAAAGGTGCGATTTCATGCTGACGCTTGACGCTAGCTTTGAGCTTCAAATTTGACCACATTATATAATTTCGATTGAAGTGCCATCTAGATAAGAAGAAGCTTCAAATCTGAGCGTCAAGCGTCAAGCAACATTTACGAATTAAAATAGCGTTTTACAAGTAACAAAAATCGAAAGTTGACTTATCGATTTATGTTATTCCCTAACCTATTCGGATCAACAACAACACAGTACAATTAACAGTGC